TTAGTTGGGTTGAACTTTCTGATGAGAGGAAAATTCCTTGTCCTGTTGTTTGTTTTATGTAACGTAGAATGCGATGGACTGCTTTTAAGTGTGGCACTCGTGGTTTGTCCATAAATTGACTTAAGACATGAACTACATATGTCAAATCAGGACGTGTGATAGTCAAATAGATTAATCTCCTAACTAGTCTTCGATATGATGATGGATCACTGACATATTTTCCCTCTGATTTGCTAAGAGATAAGTTTTGTTCCAAAGGAAAAGTGACTGGTTTTGCACCGAGGTACCCAACATCCTCGAGTATTTCAAGAGCATACTTTCACTGTGAAAGAACAATACCCTTTTGGGATCGCACAACCTCAATACCAAGGAAATATTTCAATTGTCCAAGGTCCTTTAATTTGAATTGGTTCTTCAAGAATATTTTGACATGTTCGATTTCTTGTAAGTCGTTCCCTGCAATGATGACATCATCTACATATATAAGAAGGGCGATGAATTTACCATTCTGGGATCGGACGAACAAAGAATAGTCTGTCTTTAATTGCATAAAATTGGTTTGCTTTAGAGCGGTGGAAAGCTTGATGAACTATTGTCGTGAAACTTGTTTGAGGCCATATAATGATTTGTGGAGTTTACAAACTCGAGTCTCCCTCTTTCGTCTGAGGCCAGGAGGTAGTGACATATATACGTCTTCGTCGAGGTCCCCATGCAAGAAAGCATTGTTGGCATCTAGTTGGTGAAGATGCCATTGCTTGGTTGAAGCTAATGCAAGAAGTAGACGAAAAGTTACAAGCTTTGCTACAGGGGCAAAGGTTTCCTGGTAATCTAACCCTTCAATTTGATTATACCCTTTTGCCACTAATCTGGTCTTGTAGCGTTCAACTGTCCCATCTTCACCAAGTTTGATTTTGTATACCCATTTGCATCTAATTGGCCTCTTTCCAGGCGGTAATGGTACAAGGGACCATGTGCCATTGACATTGAGTGTATTAAGTTCTTCTCACATAGCAACCTGCTACTTTGGATTACGAGCGGCTTCTACAAAGGTGCTTGGCTCATTTTCAATTGAAATGGCGGCGGTAAAAGCATGATGTTTACGTGACAATCTAGCATATGACAAGACGTCGGTTAATGGATAGAAGGTACCTGTTGTTTTGGATAACATGTTTTGGCTAACATGGAGTTCGATGTTGGGGGTGCCTTGAGGGAAGAGAAATACAAACATGATACTCACACAAATAGATAGACATTTTTGTTGTTCTTATTGGTCGTGGTGATGGTATTTGTTGGTCTATAGTTGCAGGTTGTTCTGAGAATAAATTTGAAGGTGAAGTAGTCTCTTGAGAGGAGATTTCATTGTCTTGAGGTAATTCATCGAATGAAGGCATGTCGGTGTGGGTGGTGAAGTGCAAAATTGAGATCTTATCTGTAGCGAGAGAAGGAGAAGGAAAAGTGTTTTCATGGAAATAAACATCTGGTGATATAAAAACCTTCTCAGTTGAAAGGTCATAGACTCTATAACCCTTTTGCGCGTATGGATACCCTAAGAAAATACATCGAATGGCTCTGGGATCAAACTTGTTTTGTCGCTGATGATGTGTTGAGGCAAAACAAAGACATCCAAACACGCGCAAATGATCATATGTAGGTTTTGCTTGGAAGAGCATTTCAAAAGGAGTCTTTCCTTGGAGAAGGGGTGTTGGTGTTTGGTTGATTAGGTAGGTGGCAGTTAGGATTGCATCTCCCCAAAATTTTTTGGGTAAATTAGCTTGAAACAATAAGGCTCGGGCTATGTTAAATAAGTGACGATATTTTCTTTTGGCTACACTATTTTGTTGCGAAGTGGAGACACAACTTGATTAGTGAATGATGCCTTTATTGAGATAGAGATTCCTCAATATGAATTCAGGACTATTATCACTTGGAATGATTTTGAATTTTAGATTGAATTGTGTTTAAACGAGGTTTATGAACTTGATGATGAATGAATGTGTATCTGATTTATGGTTCATCAAATAAGTCCATGCATCGAGCATAATCATCAACAGTTGTGAGAAAATACCGCACTCCTGTGATTGAAGGAACTTGGTATCCTCCCCAAATGTCAACATGAATTACTTCAAAAGGTGTTTTTGAGCTAATGAAACTTGTTTGAAAAGATAAACGAGCTTGCTTAGCCAATGGGCAAATTAAACAATAAAAAATATTACAAATTTTCTTGTCTATAATTGAAAAAGGAAACAAGCTGGAAACTTTATCTGATGGGTGGCCTTGAAGTTTATGCGAGAGATTTGGGGATGGTGAAGTAGCAACATTACACTTGCTCTTTTGTGGAGTATCAAGATAGTAGAGTCCTCCTCTTTTAGTTCCCGTCTCAATCATCTTCTCCGATTGTTGGTCCTGTAGCACACAAGTGTGCTTATTAAAAATGACAAAACATTGTGAATCAAGCACAAATTTGCTAATGAAAATCATATTTAATTTGAAGGAGGGGACACATAAAACATTTTGTAGAACAGTCAGCAAAATGAATGTTGCCTATATGTGTGACAGTTGCAGTAGCCCTGTTAGGCAAGTGAACTTTTCGATTAATGGCACTGGATTTTGTAGTAAGTAGGTTGACTGAATATACCATGTGATGTGTGGCTCCTATGTCAAGAATTCAGCTTATTTCTTTGTCAAAACAGAGACACAAAAGATTTTACCTGAGATATCACTCATGACTGATGTACTGCCAACATGATTAACCATCAAATTAGATTTGTTCTCTGCAAGTAGTGATATGAGGTTTTGATATTGTTCGACTGTAAGGGTGAATGGTGCAAGACTCGTCGATGTATTAATATCCGCATGGTTGGCTTTTGGAGCAAAATTTTTCCGTTCAAATTTATTGCCCGCTGGTTTGGTCCTTTACCGCTTCCTACAATCATTGATGATGTGTCTCTGTCATCCACAATAATCGCATTCGAGATGTGCTCGACATGTGTCTGAGGTATGCCCAATTTTGTCACATTTTTCACACTTTAAATGAGGATTTTTAGGCGTGAAAAATTCTCTGATTTTCGTGCATTATTCTTCACGGCAAAAGCTGAAGCTTCCGGCTACAGCGCATTTGCATTGTTCATGCTGCGCTGCCTTTCCTCTTAAAGCGCGAGAGAATGTGCCTTACTGAGGGAAGGGGATCCATGAGCAAAATTTGTCCTCTTATACTAATGTATGTTTCATTGAGCCTTATGAGGAATTTCATGATTTTCTTGTTTTGCTGAAACTGCATCACTTTCTTCATGACACCACACGTGCATTTAGGAATGTTATGGAGGGAGTCACGTTCGTCCATAGGCCTTTGAGCTTGGTGTAAAAAGCTCCAACTGTCATATTGCCTTGCTTGCAATCGTGGATGGCTTCTTCGACATGGAAAATATGAACGCTGTTGGTACGAGAAAAACGTTCTTTCAAGTCGAGCCAGATTTCATGAGCACTCTCGTTGTATATTATACTTGCTCCAATGTTTTCTGCAATTGAATTAAACAACCATGCCTTGACAAGGTTGTTGCAGCGCCTCGATTATTGGAGTTCTGTGGTGGACGTTTCTGGTGGTTTTTTGACGGTGTCGTTGACAAAACCTTCTCTGTTTTTTATATTGAGAGTCATCAACATGACACGACTCTAGGAATTGTAGTTTTCTTCATTCAGCGGCTGCGTACAAGCACGAGACCAGGTTGATCTGAATAGGGGAGATAGAATGGGTCGTTCAGATTATTGAATTTGCTAGATTCAGGCTTTGCTGAATTTTGCGTTTTGTCTGTCATGTGTTTTGGCTTAGAAAGAAGATAGATGAGATTTTGGCGTGGAAGAGGAGATGATAAGACTCAGAATCGTGTTTGCTCTGATACCATGTTAAAACTCAAAATAATGTGGGGGAATATTCAATATTTCATTGATATGAACGGAATTATAAATAATCCTTACAAGAATCTTGTAATAGGAAAAATAATAAAAGAAAATGATCTGAAAGGAAGAGTATAACACATGATATCCCCAATAATTAATTATTAGGAGATATAGAAAATAACGTAAAATAGGAAAACAAATATCTCATTAATTCTAAGGAAATAATTTATTTTCCATCATAACTCTAATTCTAAGGAAATAATTTATTTATAAGAATAAAATTTTCTATCATAACTCCTAACACATATAGTTGTCCTTATTTACTCATATTGCTACGTGGAATCCATATTATTATATTCTAAACCCCAGAAAATTGTTTTTGTGAACATTGCCATGACTGAATTGGCAGATATTATGAATGCTAAAAAATGCACAAAATTTTTGCATTTGTGATTGGAAATCTATTGCATGAAAATATGTATTTCATTTTCTTAAAAGTTAAAATGGCGAAATTTTGGATGTGATATAAATATAAAAAGTAAAATTTAATTTGTTATGCATGTAAATTCATTAAAAAAATGTGTGTTATTTGTTTGTGTAAATCTATAATTTTAACCCCTAGCACAAAAAAAAACAAAAACAAAAACAAAAAACAAAAAAATTATTTTAAATATTCCAGCAAATTTTATGAAAATGTGTCAAATATTGTGTCATCTTAATAGAAAATGAAGCACGTGAAGTATTAAAATTATACAGTCAAACTATGATATTATTATATAAAATTTAGTTTAAGAAAATAAATATATGATTAATAATAATTATTTACGTATAATTATGACAGATTATAAATTTAGTTAATTTTTTAGCTTATTAATTTGGAAAATTTTATAACATCAATTTTAATATATATTACTAAATTTTATTTATTTTGGGCACGAAATAATTGTATATCTAAAGCACTGAAATAAAAAAAAAAAGAGTATATTTAATTTTATATTTGTTATTATTAAAATTTAATTATAAGTCATAAAATTTATGGACTAATAATATAAATATTTTTTTAAATAGTAAATTTATCTAAATATTTTTTTTTTCAATAATGCAAGCGGCCATGCTCCTGTCCGGTTCAGTGTCCGCCCGGTTCACAACATCGGTTTGATCATTGATGCTTATCAAGTGGAGCCCGCGGAGCCGACTCTCGAGCCCTCCTAATTCATCTCGATGCCCTAGCTCTTATCCTTCTCGCCGCTTTCTCCTCTTCCCTCTTCTAAAATCTCTCCAGCGCTCCCCGCAACACCCAGCCGCCCGGCGATCGATTGAGATCGAGATCCCAGGTACAGTGTTTTAGTTGTTCCTCATTTAATTCCTCTGGTGCGTCGTTTTTCTAATTTCTTTTTCTTATGTTGTTTGTGTTTTTTCCTGTTTGACCACGCTAATTTTTTTAGGGATGATCTTAATTGGTGATTTTTCTGAAAGCAACCCTCTGAGTTACTGCTGGTTTTAGAAATTTTGTTGAAATAAACATGATGTTATAAGCCATACGGTTGCATCCTAGTTTTTTGCACCGGACCAGCTAACTAATAGAAATTATATAAATAATTAGGAAGCTTTCCTAGCAACTAGTGGATATCATGTGGTCAAACGAGAAGCCCACCTCAAGGAATGTTTGTGGTAACTTCGAGTCAATAAATAACGCCATAAATAAATTGAAATATCTGTTAAGAAAACTACATCGTTAATATGGTGTGAAGAAGTTTCATATTATTAAGCGTGCTAAAATGGTCCAGTGTAAGTAATAAAGAGGTTTAATATAAACAAATGTACATAATCAAATCCATAAACTTTGTTTACAATTTGGAGGGAGCCAATATGCAGTCTGCTGCAATTGAACAACTAGAAGAATGCTGCCATCTTGAGATATATTCAAGTTCTTTACCATGAAAAATTGATTCTACTTAGTTCTGCAAGATATCCAATTGTTTGCTGAACTATAGACTTTATGGGATCAATAGTAAAAGATATTTAGGTGAATTAACAGATTTGTGAAATTAATATTGCATGCAAGTGATGCAACCATTGCCTTACTAGTTATAATCTACCTCTTTATACCGATAAATTCAAACTTGGCATAATGCGGTGGATAAAACCCAAAGAAGTGATAAAAACTACTAAATTATTGATACTTCCAAGGAGATGCTGCTTCATTTTGTTTATTTAGAAGATGCAGTGTTTCAACTAGCACTTGAATTGTAATTGTACCTTAAAACTTCCAATGTTAGAAGGCTTTCCTTGCTAAGCCGGAAAACTAATATTGTCATATTATGTTGATAGATTCCACCATAGAATTGTATCCAAGGAAGTAGCTCCACAATTACTGAGGATCCTAGGGGTAATGTTGTTTTCTTAATTTTTGGTTTTTAACAAATTGGGCAACCTTTCTTTAGATGTTGACATCTTAACAATTCATATGAATGTTTCATCATGAATCTTGACATTATTTTGATGGAGTGGATGAGAGTGTTCATCAAGATGAGAGTATTCACGAACCTTATTTTCGATGTAGTTATGCTAAGCTTTAGTGCTTGTTTTTTTGAATGTTATGGGTGTGCTAGAGCTGAACCTATAATTGATTTTGATTGGTGAAAATTTGTTATTTCATTTCTCAATGGGTCATCCGAATTTCTTTGTTTTTTTAATGATAGATGAATGCACATGATTTTTAAGTCCGCTTTGGAGCGCATCAAATCTTAATCTGAACCTCATCTTGGAAATTCCGATGATTTTGAATACTTCCAAACCTAAGGAAATTCAAGTCAGGTTTATAAAGGAGTCTAGGGAACATATTGTGGTCAATGTGACTTCGAGTGTTAGAGTTTGGAAGAATGGATTCTTTATGCTTTGGACATCATAGAGACTAAAGAGTTTTTTTGTAGGTCTCTCATCTTACCTGAAAGAGGTGATTTTCTAAATATTATAAGGATCTTTTCTTGATGATCTACTGTATGAATCTTCACCTGTTTGAAGCATATAACATGTTATTGATATTTTTCTCAACCCAATTTACCACATTGGAAAGTGAGCACTATTGAAACTACTATGCATAAGAGGTAGTAAATTGACAACTCACGGAAGGAATCTATTCATTACAAGATATTTGATGTACCACTGTTAAAATGATTCAAATAGAGATCCTAAACTTAATGAGATATTAGATATAATATTTGGGTGTTGTTCTTTTTAAAGATTGATCTTCAAAAGGGAACTTTAAGCTCACTTAAATTTTTTTAAGATAAAAGATTATTTATACAACTAGCTGGTCATGTCATTTGGTTTGGCCAACAAACCAAATTAATTTATGAAAATTGCCGGTCATCTACTACATATTTATATTGTTTGTGTTTTTGTTTGTCGTATATTGGATCTTAATGGCATTTTAATTAGTAGTAGATCTGGAGAGGACCATCTCATTCATCTTAGAAACGTTCTCTAGGGTCTGCAGTACAAGAAAACTGATAAGCGATATAGCATGAGGCTGGGCAAGGAACAAATAAGCTAGACAAAAAAAAATGAATATTGAAGTATCATAAAGGTAAATAAGGATTCATGGATTGCTTCAATTTAGTCTAGGTCACTTAGTTATATCCCATGAAAGTTTGAGGAGGTGTTGTTAACATTATTTTAACTTCATAGAAAATATTGTTTTGACTAATGAACTATTTTGTGCCAAACTTTTATGTGAAGTAATAAAAAAGTTATGTCGAATAGCAAAGGTAATTTTAAATTAAAATTATTTATTTAATCAACAAGGCAAGGGTCTTCAATTATGTTTCTTTTATTTGTTAGAAGAATTCTGCCTCTTTAGCAGCTTAATATCTTTGATCTTCAGATAACAAATTTCTTAAACTTTCATTATAACCTCTTTTATACATCATTTATTTATGTCTTAGGCATTGAATTTAACTACTTCATTGATTATATCTTGTAAAAAATCCATTAAACATGACTAGATCAAAAGGCAGGGTATTGAAGAAGTGATATTTCCTTTTAGGTGAACCATTTTTTCCATCTTTTCTTTGATAACTCTTTATTCATGATTTGGCTACTACATCTTTTGACTTGGAATTAACTTGACATCACAATATAATCTTATTATGATATCAAATCATTGGAGAGTGATGATTTGAAATTGTGTAATCAAATAGGATTTTGCGAGGATTTTTTCTAGAGGTTTGCAAAAATCAAGAGTTTTTCTATGAGATCAAATGCAATAACTTCCCTTCATCAAAGAGTAGATATTACCATGCAATTGCTTTGAAATGTGATACTTCCTTCTCTTGCCTCTTTCTATATATTTATCTGCCACTTATTTTCTCAGTCATAAATATCAAGGGAAGTTATTATTAACAATTGAACACAAATAAATAGCCTAGTTTCCTTCTTGGATGGTGCAATCAAAAGCTGTGATTGCAAGTCTACTAAATTATTGCTCTTGGTTGAACATTTATATGAAGAAATTTGGGAGAGAGGAATTTGATGATTTTTACTCCTAGGATTAGGAGTTAACGAGATTGGTATGTGAGTTTGAGATAGATGATAGAATAGAAAAGTAACTTATGCTAACAATTTATTGTATGCAGTTAATTTCAAAACCTTATTACAAGGGATATTTATAACCATCTATTTCCCTAGTTAAGAAATTAGAAGTTACATAAAACTTCTACTCTAGCTTTAAAATGGTAAATTAGATTCTATCCATCTAGATATGCTGTTTGATAAGACAAGTCCTTATCTAAATGCTTGTCACATTTATATATTAAAACACGTAAGAGAGAATTTATTGGAAAATCCTCTCAATATATGTGACTTTTTTGGGGGTAGGAGAGGGGGGGGGGGGGGGGGGGG